TAATATTTACAATATTAATAATTTATATTATATTAAAAACTCAGTGAAGCTGAAGAAATGGAGGGGGGGAATACTTCTCTGTTAATGCTACTGCTCCTGGACTCCTGATTTTCTTCCTACAGTATGAAGACCTTTATTAATCCTTCAGTCAGTTTCTTGTGTCTCTGTAAATGAGGGGTTTTTTTAAAGTTTTTTTGTAGTTTTTGTAATGTACTGACAAGTATGTCAGATACATATGTGTGCCTTAACTGTTAAAAATGAATAGAACTGCATAACACTTAATTGCAGACATCTCTTGTAATCTGCCCCAGGTCTTGTGAGCCAATTTAAAAAATGGAATTTATTTTGAGAAATATTCATCTGTGAAAATGATAAAGATAGTGAAGCATTATATATACGCATCTTGTTTGTACAGTAACTTCAGTGTCTTTCTGTGACTTGCAGGAAGAAGCTTCTCTGCCCAATTTGCTAGTTGTTTGTGGGGATCATGGGATGTCTGAAACAGGTAGTCATGGTGGTTCTTCAGAAGGAGAAGTGCACACACCACTGCTGTTTATCAGCTCCGCTTTTGAAAAGAGAAGTGGTAAGGATCGAAGAAGCTCGACCTTTTTTAGAACACATTGCCATCTCTAATTTATATTACCTCTAGAATTCTTCCTGGAAAGACCTCTAGAATTCTTCCTGGAAAGTGCTTTAGTTTGTTCTACAGGTATCTGTCAAGGCCCATTCTGTGTGACCTAAAACTCTGGTTTTAGCTAAAGTTTGCATCTGTGTCATGGTGAAACCATGACTTAAGCTTTGTAACCACTGAGAGAATTGGGCATTTCTCAGATGAGAAATTTTGCAGCACTGTCCTACTTGGCTGTCGAAAGCTAATGAGATCTGTTTTCAGGATCCTGGGATACTGGTAAATGAATAGGATTAGAAGTAAAATCCTATTTGAAGGAGTTTTAAGTTTTGTCTTTCTTGGTCAGAATTTTTCCCTGGCCTCCATTCTTCCCTCTCAGACAGCCAGTTTAGAGGAGTGAATGACAATTTCTCGTGCTGAGAGTAACAGGAAAGAGGAAGAATTGCTCTTGTGAAAGGGTGAAAGATGACAGCAGTGAAAACATCACTATTGATTGCCAAGCGTTAAGGAAAGAGTATGGAGAATGAGCGTATTTACTGTATTGGCCGGGCAGTTAATTTTAAGTCACTGATGTGAGTTTATCTGTTTCTGAAACTCATTTTCTACTTGTATAATACAGCTTAAGGTAAGAGGAATGGTGTGGTAGAGAATCTTTAGTCTAATTTGTAGAGTCTTGCTTAAATAAACTCCTTGACTGAGTGAGTCAGTAAAATGTAGTTATACCAGGAGTGAATATTTTCTTCAAAATAATACTTCCCTCTGCCTTTCATTCTACCTCTTGCTCATTTCCATCTGATTTCCTTGCTTTTAAAGCCTGTTTGCAGAACCTTGCCTTGTTTATCTTGCTGGAGGTTCCTGCAGCACAGTGGAATTACATTTATCTGTCTGTCATTTATAAAGCTGTTACCCAGCTGCAATAGAAAGCATTGCTTGAGCAGTCATTGAACTCTTTTCAGATATAAAAACAAAACGAAGTCAAGAGCTGACCAAAGCTCTCAGGTAAGTTTTTGCTTTATAAATTTCACTGGTATGTGTTGACCACCAGGCCACATGAGTGTAGATTCTGTAAATGCAATCTCTTGTTCATTGGGATTAGTTTTTGCTAGGTTTAAACTGAACGTGCAGTTTTTACGATACAGTGAAATATATCTATTCACCTGTCTTTTGGGGTCAAGTTTGTCATTTCTAATTATGCCCATGTTAATATCGAGCAGCTTGCTTCTCATTGCTACAGTAATCAGAATTCTAGTGACTGCTTCTTATGATCCTACTGTAAACAAAATGTACTGTGCTTAATTTGGTAGACCTCAAAATAGTAATCCTGTGGGCTTTTGCATTTAGTATGCTGTTAGAATATTACTTGTGTAGCCTTCTACAGAGATGTGTCACCCATGATTGGCTAAATGCATTTGGTAGTTTAGGGTTTTTTAACCAGTTAAGAACTTGCCTTCAAAGATGAAATCAGAAAACTGCTGACATACAGTCACTCATGCAAAGCGGCTTTAGGGATTGTAGATGGCATTCTGTACCAGTATGGATTGATCAGAGCTAGATGAGAAATGAGAGAAGTTCTAATGCTTTTAAAGGGAGCCTTGAGAGTAATAAACACTGTATATATAATTCTTTCTGTACTGTACTTAAGTCAAAACACTCAATGCCTGGAGTTACAAAGAGAACGAAGTAAAAATAATAGAAAAACACTGTTATGTAACTAGTAAAGCACACAAAAAAACCATTGGCAAGACAATCTTGAACAAAAGGTTCCTTACGTTAGTGAAATCATTCACGTGTGTAGATGTCTGTGGGACTGAATGCTAATCCTGATAACTGCAGTAAGGTAATGGGATCCTGCACAGAACCCTTTAAAAATCACTGGGTTTGCCTACATGGATTTGGGCCTCAACATTCTTTACCTGACCTCTAATTCTGTTTGCCTAGCAACCTGATATTAATTAAATCTTGAGCTGTTTTCATTATATTGAGAAGCTTCTAGAATGCTGTCAGAATTATTTTAGATTCTTATTCTTCATTCATGCATTAAATTAGTTTACTGTAGTGCTTTCTATTCTTTCTAATGTAACAGTTATCAAACTCCCTTAGGATGTAGGCTGCAACTTGATATTAAGGTGATCTCCTGGACCATCTCTTTTCTTATTTTTGCTTGTATAACATTCATGTTGTGTTTACAATAGTTGCTGGCAAGTGACACTTGCTGAGAATTGAATAAATTTTGGTTTTACAACAGCAGAGGACAGCAGCTGAAAAAGATCCCTATGTAGATTACTTGAAATAGCTGATCTAACACTAATGAAAAAATTTTAAAACTAACAAGATGCCAGCTCTCTCTGGAGAAACAGAATGGGCCTATTGTTGAAATACCTTTTTTCCTCTCTTTTTTTTTTTCTTTTTCCTTTTTTTGTTGATTCTAGGTCCTCTCACCCAACCTGAACTTGTGCAACAAACTGATTTAGCTAGCACACTGGCAGTAGGTCTTGGTCTACCAATTTCAAGAAACAGTGTTGGGAACATTATATTGCCAGTCGTGGGAGGCAAGACAATGAGAGAACAACTACGTTTTGTGCACTTGAATGGGTTCCAGCTTAGCAGACTGCTGCAGCAGAATACACCTGCATATGAAAAAGGTAAATCAGCTAAAAAAACCCAAAAGTTACATATACAAAAGGAGATTGCTTATAACACAATTTGGGCTTTTAGGTTCAAGAGTATAGCATGGCACTGCAAATTAGCCATTCAGTTGAGAGCAGTGTTCAGAGAAACAATACTGAGTTCAGTCATTAGTGTAACCTACTCTGGCACATTGCCTCTGAATAAAGTTTTTTTAATGACCAGTACTACTCCTAGTAGGCAAAAGAGCAGAAATAACGATGAAAGAGTAAGATTACAGTAAAACTGCCAGTGTGGTTAAATCTCAGTGGTTTCATATCTGCTATTTTTGAGGTATCCTACATAGGGCACTGATTCTGAGCTATTTGGAGGAGTAGCACAATAGAGTGAATTTTCTAGTTTAAATAAAAAGATGCTTCAAGTAAAGCTGGGAAAGTTATCTTTTTAAAGAAAGTTTAGGGTAAGTTATCTTTTTATTTCATTCTTATGTATGAATTTACTTGGAGTGAGAACCTAGAGAACTGCAAAGTTGCCTATTAAAAATACACATAGGTGTGCATATATATGTGTGTGTGTGTATCTGGAGGAAAGAATAAAAAACAAGTGGAAAAAGTAAACCAAACCTAGCAAAATGTAGTATTTTGTTAGGAAGCGTGGTACAAACTGCAATATAAGTAAGCAAGTTAATATGATAATTATGTGAAAAAAATTGAGTCAGAGGATGAAGGAGAATATTTTACCATGGACTTTAGAAGATGTTAGGGAGGTGATCGTGCCCCTGTACTTGGCACTGGTGAGACCGCACCTCGAATACTGTCTTCAGTTTTGGGCCCCTCACTACAGGAAGGACATTGAGGTGCTGGAGTGTGTCCAGAGAAGGGCAACGAAGCTGGTGAAGGGTCTAGAGAACAAGGCTTATGAGGAGCGGCTGGGGGAACTGGGACTGTTTAGTCTGGAGAAGAGGAGGCTGAGGGGAGACCTCATTGCGCTCTACAACTACCTGAAAGGAGGTTGTAGTGAGGTGGGGGTTGGTCTCTTCTCCCAAGTAACTAGCGATAGGACGAGAGGAAATGGCCTCATGTTGCATCAAGGGAGGTTTAGGCTGGACATTAGGAAAAATGTCTTTACTGAAAGAGTGGTCAGGCCTTGGAACAGGCTGCCCAGGGAAGTGGTGGAGTCACCATCCCTGGAAGTATTTAAAAGACGTGTAGATGAGGCGCTTAGGGACATGGTTTAGTGGGCATGGTGGTGTTGGGTTGATGGTTGGACTCGATGATCTTAGAGGTCTTTTCCAACCTTAATGATTCTATGATTCTATGATTCTATGTTGTTGTCTTAAAGTGACTGTGAAGCTTGAAGTCCTTGTCACTTGATTTATAATCTGTTGAATCATTAAAATGACTGGATGAGAATGCAGAGCTGTGTTACAGCTATGAATAATTAAAGTGGGTAACAACGTAACGTTTAGCAAGATGATCATTGTAGGTCAAGAATTAATTATCTTTCAACATCACGGCTTCTAATCATAATTAAACCCTGTCCAGGAGTCTAACAAAACGAATGCCGCTTATGGTAGCAACATGTCAATAGCGGGACCCATGCCCCATGTATTCTGATATTTTTCTTCTGCACAGATTTCCTCATTTAACCCATTTGTGTCAAGTGAGGTAACTTGCCCTATTGGTGGAGTTCAGGATATGACTGTGTTACTGAAAATTCCAACACAAAACTCCATCTGACAGTATTTCTGCAAGCACTGGTGAAGCAGACTGAAGTTTCTACCAGCTTCTGATTTATATCTTCATTTTCATTTTATTTTTGCCGGGAACAACTTAATTTCAACTTGTAGCTTTCATCTGAGAAATGAAATACAAATAGCTGAGAATGGAAATGTGAGAAATTTTTATGCTACTTGCTTGTGACTGCAAACTGCTATTAGAGATGCTATCCTACTGGAAAGGGGTTGGGGGGCAAAGCATCCATGATGAGCTTCTCTCCTTTCAGTAGTGGAGAGTCTCAGTAACATGGAGCTAGATCCAAGTCATGGTAGCTTTTTTCACAGAGTCTTAAGGTGAATTCTCCCTCTCCATCTTCGAGAAGGATGCCCATTTTTATAAAGGGGTAAGAAGGAGGACCCTGGCAACTACCGACCAGTCAGCCTCACCTCTATGCCCAGTAAGATCATGGAGCAGATCCTCCTGGAAGACATGTCAAAACACATGGAAGACAGGGAGATGATTAGAGATGGCCAACATTGCTTCACCAAGGGCAAATTGTGCCTGACTAATCTAGTGGCCTTCTACAATGGAGTAACTGCATCAGTGGACAAGAGAAAAGCTTTGGATATCACCTACCGAGACTTCTGTAAGGCCTTTGGTACGGCCTTCCCCAACATTCTTGCTGCTGTATTAGAGAGAGGTGGGTTTGACGAATGGTCTCTTAAATGAATAAGGAATTGGCTGGATGGCCATGTCCAAAGAGTTATAGTCAACGGCTCAATGTCCGAGTGGAAACCAGTAACGAGTGGTGATGTCCCTGCCCATGGCGGTGGGGGTGGACTAGATGATCTTTAAAGGTACCTTCCCTTCCAACCTGAACCATTCTGTGATTCTATGATTGTAAGTTGGGAAGATGAGGAGGGAGAGTTGCCCCTTATGTGAGGGAGCAGTGGCAGTGCACGGAGCTCTGCCTGGGGGTGGATGATGAAACAGTTGAGAACTTCTGGGTCAGCATGAGTGGACAGACCAACATGGGCAATATTGTTATGGGTATCTGCTACAGACAGTCTGATTGGGAAGAGTTAGTAGGTCTTCAGACAACTTGAGGAAAGCCCCACCCCATCCGTGGTGCTCTTATGGTGCTTCAACCATCCTGTTTCAGTTCAGTTCAGACTGAAAAGTGGCTCAGCTGCTGGGCTCACATGGTTGTGTTCAGCAGCACAAAGTCCACCTGGAGGCCAGTCACTAGTGATCAACCCCAGGGCTTGACGTAGGCCGATACTGTTTAACATCTTCATTAATGACCTGGGCGATGGGACAGAGTGCCCCCTCAGCAAGTCTGCACACAATACAGAACTGGGAGGAGTGGTTGATACAGTAAGTGGGTGTGCTGCCATTCCTCAACAGGCTAGAGAAATGGGCTGACAGGAACCTCTTAAGATTCAGCAAAGGGAAGTGCAGAATCCTACACCTGGGAAGAAATAATCCCATGCACCAGTGCAGATCAGGTGCTGACTAGCTGGAAAGCAGCTTGGTGGAGAAGGACAAGAGGTCCTTGGGGACACCAACTTGAACATCAGCCAGCAACACACCCTTGTGGAAGGAAGGCCAACAGCATCCAAGGAGGACTGTCATCAGCAGCTCAATCCTTCCTCTTTCCTCAGCTGTGGTGAGACCATATCTGGCATCCTGGGTCCAATTCTGGGCTCCCCAGTACAAGAAAGGCATGGATATAATGTAGTGAGTGCAGCGAATGGCCATGAAGGTAATGAAGGGTTTGGAACATCTGTCATACAAGGAGGGGCTGAGGGTGCTGGGACTGTTCAGCCTGGATAGGAGAAGACTCAGCAGGGATCTTACCAATGTAGGTAATACGTTGTCATGGTTTAACCCCAGCCAGCAGCTGAACCCCACGCAGCTGCTCCTCATCCCCCCTCCTCTGGTGGGATGGGGGAGAATCAGGAGGGCACAGGTACTCGCAGGTTAAGATAAAAACAGTTTAATAATTGAAATAAAATGAAGTAGAACAGTAATAATAACAATGAGAACAACAACAATAGCAGAATATACAAAGCAGACAATGCACAATGCAACTGCTCATCGACCACTGACTGCGTGTCACGAACACGGTGAGCCCCTCCACGCCCCTGGTTTTTATACTGAGCATGATGTCACATGGTATAGAATACCCCATTGGCCAGCTGGGTCAACCATCCCAGCTGTGCTCCCCTCCCCCCCAGCTTTCCCTGCACTTGACAGGGCATGGGAGGCCAAAAAGAGAAACAAAAAGTCCCTGGTGCAAGCACCACCCAGCAACAACCAAAGCATCAATGGGCCATCAACGCGCCTCTCATACCAAACCCAAAACACAGCACACCCCCACAAGCTACTGGGAAGAAAGTTAACTCTGTCCCAGCCGGAACCAGGACATACGTGATGGGAGGGAATAAAGAAGATTGAACCAGGGTCTACTTGGTGGTGCCCAGTGAATAGACAGGAGGCAGTGGGCATAAATTGATATACAGGAAATTTTGTTTAAATGAAAGAAAACTTTTTTTGTGTAAGGGTTGTCAAACACTGTAGTGAGTTGCTCAGAGAGGTTGTGGAGTCTTCATACCTGGAGACATTCAAGACCTGACTGGACACAATTCTGAGCAATCTGCCCTAGCTCACCCTGCTCTGAGCTTTTGGCTTTTTTTTGTGGACCATCTGGACACTCATCAGAGTTGTGGTGACAAGTCTTGGGCCATACCATTTTTTGAATTCCACAGACAAGATATGCTGCCAGTTTTTTTGAGGGAAAAACGTCAGAAGATAATGCAATTAGACATCTCACTCACATTTGCTGCTGCAGGTTCAAGCTTTCCGATGCAGATTCTTGGCTAGTAACTGGTGGATCATAACATTTCAGTTGAATGCTAAGAAAAATGCCTATGACTGGAGCTTCAGTTTAAAGTGAAAGATACTTGGAGGGAAAGCCTAAGCCTTGCTGCCTTTTTTTTTCATGGGAAAATGCAGAATCCTACAACTCTTCAGCTCAAAAAGGGTAGGTTCTTCTGAAGGGGAAAACATGGAATTCCTGCGGAGAGTATTGTAATTTGCAGCACAGAGGTAGGGCACAAGCGGTTCGTACCTTGAATATGATGACTGAATCATGTAAGGAAAGATTCACCCATTGTAAGCTATAGCATAACATATACATTCATTTTTGGTGCAATGTGCATTTCTTTTTTAATACAAAAAGATGAATTTAGTTGTCAATTGAGATGAATCACAGCTTTACATGCTGTTTCATGAAGAAGCCATGGAGTTACCTGGATTCAGCCACTCCAATGTTAAAAAGAAAGTGGAACAGTACACAAAAATATCTTTGTCTTCAAGTGTGTTTTAAGTATATCTATTAATAAAGAGCAGAATGGAGGCAGCTCAGTAACGTTTTTCTTTTTTTTTTTTTTCCCCCAATGTTTGTTCATACAAACATGCATTTTCAAACCAAGAGGTTGTACAGCATTTCATGGGGTTTTGATTTATTGAGGTACAAAGGAATCTTCACCGTTAAACCTATCTTCACGTAAATTAAATTTTAAATGAGAAAGTTGAAGCTTGTCTAAGGGCTTGATTATTTTGAAAAAGACTGTTTGAAACATGCTAATAAATGCTAACATGAGGCATTAGGTTTTCTTTTGATAGAGATGGACACGTGCAGCTGAAAAAAAAGTCTGGAAAAGGAGAGTAAAAACAGCTGGCAAAAATGAAGAAGCTGAAAGGAGAAGTATCTAGAAACACACTTTGGGTTTCTGAGCAAGTACTTACCTTAGTGTAAGGTAGGCAGCTGTAGGTATCTAGTAATGCTTCCCTCATGTTCTGAACTTCTGAATATTCATCTGAATGATGAACTAGGGTTGTTTCTTTGAGGGGCGCTTCACAGTGGAATGAAGAGTTACACTTGAGAGCAAGTTGGATGTTATTAAAATAAGTGTCCACTTTTAAATTTGGAACTAATCCTGAAATTGTATTAGATGCATGTGTTGATTGAAATAATTTGATTGTTACTGCGAGATTTATATACTGAAACTGGAGAAGTCACTTTTACCTTATCCATTCTTTTCTTATGTTTATAATTTTTTTTTTAAATGAGTGCTGCCTGTGACTGGAACTAAGTGAAATTGTTATCAAACAGATGCTTGGGAGGCATAGCTGTTTGCTTGTGATAACATTGGAGGGAGGCTGAAGCAGAAAATGCTAATGTAATACTATGCAAGTAAACCATTGTCAGTTCTTTGGGAAACTTGTAACTGGGCAAGCTCGCTTTGGATTTTGCCTCAACTTTAGCTTGTCTTGTGAGTATCCCATGCAGGAGTGACTTGCAGATGTTACACACCGGTTACCAAAATGCTTCAACAACCCAGAGTCTATGGCCATCCTTACACTATAACAGAATTACTAAGTGTCACTGCCAAGGATTGCTTTGCACCAGCTTCATAGTCCAAATGCCTGAAGCCAAACTGCACTTCAGCTGTTAACTTTTCTATTACTGCTTCAAAATCTCGCATGCTGTGTGTTTAACTTTGTGTTACCAGCTGACTCTCATTAGCTTTGCAGCAAAATCGAGGTCCCTAATATGGTGTATGTGTCCTTTGATGTTTCCTCCAAACATCAGCTATTTGATCATTTCCCACTTGGCTTGTACAATATGGCCTGGATAATGAGTAGCTCCAGTGGAAAACGTGACTTTTTTCAGGATTTAAACCATTTGAATAAGTTTGTCCGGGAAACCTTTTGTAAGAGTAAATGAATGTTTTAATACGTTTGTCACTTTTAGAGGTCTTGATGTTTTATCAGGTTAGGGATTAATTGCTTTTATTCTGAGTAACTGGCTCATCATGGCTCATTGCTGCAGGAAGATAATGTAACTTTCTAGGTGTGAAAAAAGTTTTAACCCCCATAGCAATTTTTTTTATACTATACGAGCAAATATAAAAATATGATCACATCTCTAATTAATCCTCCTTTGTTCATGGATCCTCTTACCTCTTTTCTTTTTTCTTTTTTTTTTCCCCTCCTTAGATCCTGGATATGAACATTTTAAGATAGCAGAGAAGTCCCATGGTAATTGGATCAAACTGTACTTAGAGGGGAATAATTCAGAAATACTCTTAAATCTTGGCAAAAAGGTCCTGAAGCAATATTTGGAGGCCCTGAAGACTCTGAGTTCTTCACTAAGCAAACAAGTGGCACAATATGACATGTATTCGATGATGGTGGGGACTGTGATCATTATGGAGGTACAAAAATACATCTTTCTGTGAAAAAGCTAAGTGCACAAACGTAGAAGTTTCTGGTTTTTGACTACTTAGTGTATATTCTTACTGGTCTTTAGAATTACCGAGTATGAACTCTTAGAGTTGGCTGACTTTCTGCTTGGATGAGGTTGATATTCCTTTTAAAGTATAACTTGGACTTTAAAAGGATTTGAGAGCTTTTAATATAAGCTACTTATGTTTTGGTATAACTAGTTACAGTAAATATGCAGATGTGCTACAACTGAAATTACTCCTATATTAATTAGCCTTCTACTTTTTGAGTAACCTTAGTGCACTTAAAAAAAAAGGTCTGGCGAGTAAATTCCTACTTGTTCCTCTTTATCTAACAGTGAGCGTAGCTGCTCAGAACAGGCAATAACCTTGTGTGGGCAATTTTCACAGTTCCAAACGTTGTTCTTTGTACTGATAGGTGTAGAGCCCTGAAATAAATACTTGCTGTAAGGTGCTGGGTTGCCACTTCATGTCTCATGTAGGAATAAAGATAAGATATCGCATGTCTGGAATTTTAAGTGGTTCTCTGTAATTGATATTTTGGGCAAATCTCAAATGCTGGAAATATCCTCTGCAGTAATGCTTTGAGAAGAATGCTGAAGGGATACCATGCCTGGACACTGAACTTTTATGTACAGAAGCTTGCACTGACCTTTTAGATGACACAAGTGTCAACTTTTGTGAGAATAAGCATTGTTCCCTAGGATGGAAATACCTACTACAAGCTTAATTTAGTCCTTGTGTGTGTGTGGTGCTGTACAAGTCTGTGTAATTGCTGTAGACCTGGTCCTGTTCAGTGCCTGGAATGGATAACAGTACATGAGGAACTGTTTGGTATTTGAGTCTCCTTTGTCCTGTCAGGACTCTATGCCTCGTCCCATATGCGCTTTCTCTGTGTACAGAGTACATCTGAAATGTCTTTCTGATAGGCTGCGCAGTGGGGTTTATCACTCTGCTGACCTCTTCACAGGAATTAGTTCCACAGTGTCTTTGGGAGATGAGGTGGTAGGTTCTGTTCCTGCTCTACAGATGGCAAATTCGGAGGTGGACAAAGCTCACCTCAAAGCTGAAGTGCTTATATTTCTTTTTTGTTCCGTTGTTTTGGGAACCTATGCATTCAACCTCTTGACAGTTACTTTGGACCTGCAGCATTGGATTTCTTTTTTTTCTGGAATGCAGTTGTAGGTGCTTACTGTTTCTACAAGACAGATCTCAGGTATTTTACTCAGTGGGCCTTCATGAAAAGAAATATGCAGCTACTAACCATGAAAAGTTTGATTGACAAGAGCTTGCTCAGCATCACTGTGAGACTTGGTGCAAAACTGCTGGAATTTTTTCTTTTCTCCAGTGCAGTACCAAGAAACTGCCTTGCTTTCCAAAATCTTTTTGACGTTGATGAAAATACATCTTGATACGTATTTTCTACCCTCACTGAATAAATAAGGGTGCGGAATCTCACAGATGACTTCAGACTACACCATGCTATAAATGCCATTTATCCTGTATTTCAGATGAGGGGAATACCTCTGGGACATGAATTGATAACAGTGCATTTGCTCAAAAGAGCTAAATTTAGATTTGTAGATCACTACAATTTGAGCATTTTCCTATCATGAGTGCTGCCTTTGTTTTAATTGTAAGTGCTGTGTTAAAAGGTAAGACCTAAACCAGTTTGATACTGTGAAACCTCATATTTTCATAACCAAGTGAACCGTGTGAAGTAGAATATGAAGACGAAGGAAGACTACTGCAATGCATTGGATTTTTTTGGTCTACTTTACTATACCTCACTGTAATGTGGGAAAAATTTTAGACAGAGGTCTTCACAAGTGACGGTGAAAGATTACAGGTTGACAATGGTCTGATATAGTTTTTTTAATCTTGATTTGTTTTAATCTTGGCCTAGCACAAGCTGATTGAGCTCAGCCTAGTCCTAGCTCCATCTGTGCCCCTTGCAAAGCATTTTAGCATATGGCTGAATTTTCCCTTTGCTTGTAAGGGTTTGTACATGGGTTGCAGAAATTATTCATGGTATTATTCATCTCCACTGCTACAGTTACCTGAGAGGGTACTTGGAATTCTGCCTGATCTGTATGTAGGTTAGAGAAAAGGGAAAGTAAACCCAATAAATCAAATTAAGATGAGGAGAGGTACAAAAAATAAATACCGGGAGAATTCATTAGCTTGAAATGCAGCTTACACTTGTGTGATTGTATGAGAACTGTCCCTGGTCTGGGAAGCTATTTAACTCAGCAGGATCTCTGTGTATGTGTATCTCACACATTGTGCGATAAATGGCCTTTGGCAGAATGTGTATGTAACTTCAGGCATTTACAGATGACAAATAACGGGTCAAATTTGTTCATTTTGGAACTATTTTGATATTGGGAGTTAAAACTCTTACTTTGGCAGGGAATGAAGATCATGCATGTGATCAGTTATCACAGGTGAGGAGGCGCATGGTAATTTATTAAACTCTGGTAACTTGTGTGTCCAAGCCCTTAATAAATGAAAAAACACAATCTTTGATTCTCCCATTTATATAGTAATATCTCACTGGGGTCAAAAAATCCAGTGTAGTTCACAGGTTTTTTTGATGAAGTATGTATACTAGCAGAGTGACATGGATGACAACACTGGTTTTTTTGTGTGAGTTCTCACTGTGTTGGCTAACCCTAATTCTTCAAGTATTAATTCTCTTTTTTTTTCCAGGTTCTGCTGCTGCTTTTGCTCAGTGTTCCAAAAGCCCTGAGCAGCCGGGCAGAATTTGAAATGCCCCTCTCCCCTCCACTATTCTCTCTGCTGTTTTACTTGATGTGTCTGATGCTGTGTGCAGTTCACGTCATTGTATGCACATCGGCAGAAAGTTTATGCTATTTCTGCAGTATGTCCTGGTTAACAGCAGTTGGAGTGATGATGCTGATTTCTGCACTCATGTGCGGTATTTTATCTGCCATTGCAAAGATCTTTGAGAATTCCAGACTTCCACTGAAGGTAAGAGCATGCATTAATTACGGTTCAAAATGTTTTGCTCTTTATGGCATGTTTCAGATAAAGTTTTATAGAAGTTTTTTCTGTGTATACTTAAAGAAATTAAAGAAATTGTTATTTGTGATGTAATTTGAATAATTTAAGATTGTGATTGAAATGTGGTGTATTCACTGTGGCATGATACCGATTGCTATAATGAAGATCATAGAAGTGCTGATTTTTACATTACTTTAAGAAGTGTTCTAATTAGTGTAAATTATTTTGCAGTTGATTTTATGAGATCAGAAACAGTTATGCTGTGTACTAATTTTATGCTGTTACACAGTGATGTTTCACAATTGCAATTAAAGCAAGATGTATGATATTTTGCAACAATATGAACTGGTGATGATCTGTCCCTTCCTAAATACCACAGACATTAATGCTCCAAGACTAATAAGAAAATACTTTGCCAGTACCCTTTCTTATATTGGTATTCTTAATGCTTTTTTAGAAATAGTTTTGAAACTGTGACACAGGGAGCAAAATTAATCTGTCTCTTCTATGTTTGAAGTTTTTTTAACTTTTTAAGTTTTTTAAGTTTAAGAAATTGAGTTTGTTACACTCTTTGGAATGCCCAAAAATGTTCTCAGTTATGCGAGTAGTTACCTTCTGTAAAGTACTTGATGAATTATGTTGTTGTATTGAATAGAATTCAGGTAATTCCAAGGAAATAGAATTTGCAATGTCTTACTCTTCTTTCGTTGTGAAACTTAGTATGCCGAGAATTGTCAGTCACACCCTAAAATCAGCTTCTAGGTGTTTTTTTCGGATGCTTGTTAGTCTTATCTTTCAAAGGTCTCTGAAATTCAGTAACTTTAATGCTCATAGCTTTCTATTCAATGGTGCAACTTCTGTGCAGTACAGTCCTTTGTCAGTCTGGGTTTCTTTGAATCATGTTTGAGGTTTTAGTACCTTTTTTTTAAGTGTGACAACGTGTGGCAAGTACATTGCTTTAATGATATGATGACATATTCCTTCAAGCTAAAAAGCAAACTTTTGACTTAGAGAAACATTTAATAAGTGCTATGTTTCATATAATTCAGAAAATTCACTACTCCTGAGTGGAGATTAATATTGCAGTCTGTGCAGCTATATGCTATAATTCCTGAGCTTAATTATAAATTTAAATTCTTATAAGTAAGACTGCTGATTTTTATTATTCGAACTATACCAGTTTATAATTTTGTTTCTCTAATTTCTGAATTTGTGTTATTCCTTCTTGGAAATGCTGCTTTTCTGAGAGAAGCCTTGGACTAAAAGTAATGCCCTTCTCTCCTGAAGACAGCTTTCCACCCCTCTTCCCCCCCCTATTTTTCAATTTTCTTTAGTGCAATTCATTTATTATTTAAAGTGATTAAAAAGGGAATTGTTGATAGAACATGGTGTTTCGTTCTTATGTTTATATTTATCAGCCACATAAGATTTAGGTGTGTCTGTCGATCATTTAGATAGACTAAAATAGAGTAACAAGTCAGCTAACAACGTCTGCTTAATGAAATCAGGGAAAAAAGTTTCATCTCAGGTATAGCTGCTAACAGAACAGCCTTTGTAAGCGTAAATCACAGTTTGCTTTTGGTACTGAAAATTTTTGTGTCAAAGTAGTGTTAATGTTTTGCTGTCAAAGCTAGTGATGCTTGTGTGGGTTTTTTTTAAAGGCAAATAAAAGAAGAAAGTAAAATTAATCAATGTGAATGGAGAAATCTGCTGAATGAGATGTCTAGTTGTACAGTTTATTAACGCTGTTGGTACTTAGGGGCATGTTGGTCTTTAAATGGACTCAATTCACTTCTGCCATTTCTGAGTTGTTCTTCAGGGCCTTTATTAGCTTTCTGTATTTTATTGTAAAAGAGATAGAAATTATTCTTAGAAAAAGTAAAAGAATATGGTCTTGAAATAATAGTTAATGATCCAGTGTATTCTGTAGAAATTTTGCGTTTACTTGCTGTGCAATGATATGGAAGACAAGCTCATTTTTCATCTTAATTGTTACCAGTTTTTGTAATTCTAGCAAACAGTAAGAACCTAAAAATGATGACTGTCTAGACCTGCGTAAAATTTACAGACGTTCCACTTCAATAGAGTTGAGAGCAATGACAACGGATTATAGCTTTCTCCTCCAGATAGATAGTCTGAAAGCAATTCAGTCTGTCTGTGACCAGAAATCTTTGTTACATGGCTAGAGATGAGTTAATTCCTTGTGAAACCCACTACTGTGGGAGTAACTTTAAAATAACTTCATATGACCCAGGAAAAATGCTTTCCTACTAGATCAAAGACTGGAATCTAGGAAGATGCTGCTATTCCTTGGCTGTTACTAAATTTAGAATAGGCTGTTACCAAGTATTGGTTGACAGGTACGTGCTCTGCCTTTTTAGTTTGGCCTGAGTCTTAGGGTTTCATTTCCATCTGTTCTTGGCACGTTTTCATCCTTGTTGGTGAGAGACAGCTGCTGGTGTGAACAACTTCCTGCAGATGGCTTATATATTGCTAATACAGCTGCTCTGTCAATGATCACAGCAACAATTGCAAAATGTCTCCTGGTATTCAAAACTTGAGTTGGTTGGAAAGGCTTTTCGTATGAAAAGAATTAATTGCTAGCTCCCTGACAGAGGCAAATGATTCCTCAAGGAACACATAAAAAGGAGCATATAATCCATGCTGTTCCGCTTTTAGAATGAATCTTTCTGAGGAACTTTAGAGGAGGAAGTGCCATTTCGTTACCCATAATTTTTTGGCCATTTCTCATGATCCCACCTAGCCAGTAATGCCTAGGGAGCATGGACAGGAGTATGTGTGAGAAGTCTGTATCTATCCGTTCTATTTCAGTTTTCTTCCTTCGCCACCCCTGCTTTGTCTGTACATCTGCCTTTGAGGACAAACTGAGCAAAACTGGACAAAATGATTAGAAATTATATCCAGGATGCTGTATCCAGTTTCATATCTTAGGTTTCTGCGTTTGTTTGTTTTTCTAAGGCTGGGGCAGATAGAAATAAAAAATACTGAATTCTCCATCCCAGATCTGTCTGTGATCATATTCCTACCTGAGACAGATCTGAAAATGTGGGAAGCTGAAGTATGTCTTATGAAGTGTAGGCAATAGTAATTCTGGTTAAGGCAGACATGATTTTGTATCCAGACCTATAGAAATCTGTTTTCATCATCCCATCTTCAATCCTATTCCATAGGTGACTGGATTGCTAGATATATATCTCATCTCATCAGTCAGATAGGCTTTGCTGTTTCTGTTCAAGATCCAAAGCAAGCTTGAAATATTTTGTAGATTTAGTTAGTAAGTTCCTCCATTCCAGACATGTATAAAAGCTGTGACATGGATATGATTTACATTTTCACCAGTCTCAGAGCTGTTGCAGAATGATATGGTGGGTTTTTTTTCAGGTGACTGCTTATGCAAAGATAGAACCTGGAGAATGTGAAAGGAGCAGTGGATAATCTGGTGTTGCTTGTAGTGTGGATGTGAGAAGTTATTTACTGGTAACTGGGGCACAAACACTGTAATTCACAAACATTCATGTCCCACCTTCCATCCCCTTTTCTGACAGAATACCTAGACTTTGGGGGAGAAACTGGTTGTCTGTATATGCTGTGCATGGATCTTGAGGGGCCTTCTTTGTGAGTTAGGAGAATTACGCTAAGATGTCTCTGACTCCAAGTGTCTGTGACCTGTGCATCTCCACAGTGCAGATTTGCGTATGGGCTCCACTTCTGAAAGAGCTCTGAAGCCCTGCTCTTCTGATGACAGGAGTAGAATCCTGAATCAGGTTTTGCCAGTTAAAAAAGCTAAAAGCCTTTTCTAAGCTCATGCTATGTGATAAAATGTAGGTATTTTAAAAGTAATTAAGATAAGCTCTCCTGCTAATGGCTTCAGAGCTCTTTTCCTTCAAATTGTTTCCGTTCACATCTAAAGATTTCTCTGAAGTGCTTCTCATTTGTAATGTTTTTTTCCCCACAGTGGCTGAATATAGAAACTGATTACCAAGTTCGTGAATTTTCTGAAGACCAGTGCAGGCAGTGTTAGCATCTGCTTCCTGACTGTTATTTATAGGTTCTGATTACTATGTTTCTAGCAGCACCAGTTCCTTCTTTTAATGACACTTCAGGCTTTAAATAGTTCTGCAGCCCTTTACGGATTCCAGAAAATCATCAAAAATTTTAGCTTGTTGTTCATAGCTTCACTCTAATTGCTTGGTAGTTGACTTAAGTACGGTATTTACTACTAGTAGTTGTATTTTTTTTCCCTATTTCTCATAGAAATCAAAACCAATAGTTTTTTGAAAATAGAACACAAAAGTTAAAGCCTGTCAAGTATAGCTTTTGAGAATTTTCATTGTGTAGAATTATGGTGTTTTTTTCAAACACCATAAACAAAATGTCCTTCTTTCTGTTAATTTTAAAATACCCTGTTCTTTTAAAAATATTTTTGTTTTTCCTCCTCTTTTGATATTCTTTACTGAATTGAACCATAAAACATTTTTATGCAATTGTACCCAGAAATTTTTTTGCATTTATTTGACTTGGATGGAAAAAACGGTGATTGGATGGTGCCTTTACGGGGTAGCTTTCAAAAATCATCCCAAACTGCTGTGAAAATGGAGGAGCAAGTGTGGTCTGTAGTACTCTGTCTTAGGAAAGTTATCATCATTGGGAATCAAGACTGGGTGCAGGGAGCTCAAATATCAGAAGGGAACAGAATGATAAGTATTTAAATTTTGGGTGATGGTGAGAACGAAAAGTAAAACGTTTCTCATCTGAAAAGTGAATGTAAAATTCCTCAGGCATTAACTATGGATGGTCAATTTTTGTGAAGAAGAGCTTTACTCTCAACCACACAGAAGCCACATAACTGGAATTGGACCCAGAAGATAGACTACAGGAGGTTTTATTTCCAAGTGAAGAAAATGTAAGTTTCATGGGCAGAGATACATATATTCTGTTGTTTATGTACAGGCACTTCTGCAAGCTAGCAAGATATGTTCAAGGATAGGGCAAAGAGGTCAGTTTCTGTATTACTTAATTACCAATGCTGATACATCAGATGTTAAAGCTACCTTGGCTTGGCAGATTATAGCTTAAATTGAAAGCCTGGTATTTACAAATTTCTAAACTAAAGATTCTGCATTAAGTTTGTTTGCCAAGATATCGGTGCGAGTCATACAAGTCTTTTAGTATCTGGAGTGCCTACTGAGTTCCCGAGAGTTGGAGGTGTTCGGCAGCTAGAAAGACAGAGCTGTGAATATCAGAGTAGGACCTACATTTCCGTGCGTGTAAACCAGATCTAAAAACTAAGTACAATCTAAGTAATCTAAGGTCAGGATGTATAAAAAACTGTAATGATGGCATTCCTAATAGGCCACAATTCATATATGAGGAATTACCAGTAAATTTAGAAAAACTTGATGAAGCTATTTTCAGTATTTCTTAGATCATGAAGGCTCGGGAGGTTATAATTTGCAGGATAATTTTTCATTTTGCATAGTGACTAACTCTGGTCTGAAATGTGGTGTGTCAATAAATGCCATTGGACTTTAACCCTTTCGTGTGAATATAGGAGTAAATTTTTTCTCTGGACAACTCTGGAGTTGTGAGAGTCAAACAAGCAGGCAAGAAATATGGATTCCTGACACTGGGACATTTCACACTGACGCCATCATTTTCATGAGGCTTTTGCATGTTCCCCATTGATAATACATCACTTCTTCAGTTCTCGTATCAGTGCTGACAGGAACAGATACAAGAGAGCAATCCTTATATAGATTTTATGTTATGTCTTATAAAGAAGATGAATTGTATTGGAGACTGGTTCATTCTCATTTGTTGAGGATCTCAGATTCCTTTGTCTCTGCAAGCAGATGGTGCTTACGTGCTCACTCATTATTTAGTTAGCCAAGATCTTTAAGGTGAGCATGGTGGAATTATTGGCGTTTAAACTTTTTGTAGTTTAGTCATGTTCTTGTCTCAGCTTTGCGAATTTCATGGTCTTTGGTCTCTGCACAAACTACATCTCTACCTTGTACTTCTGTTCCAGAATGTAGCTTATGGTATTTGATTTCCAGAGTAGAATACTAAACAAAAAAGAGTGTCTTTAGAACACCAAAGAAATTTCAAATGCTAGTAAATTTGGATTGGGTCTGGGCAGTTTTTCAGATTATGACTGTTCTTGTGCTAAATTTTTAGTGGTTTTTTCCCCTGTTATTGTTGTGTGTAACCTCATGGGGATTTTTTGTTGATTTTGTTATTGCTTGTGTTTTTTTTTAAGTGAAGTGACTTCAGTGTAATATATTTCTTTAACAACACGAGAAATGGAGGTGATGTGAATAGGTGATAATGTTAACTATACCTCCTGCATTCTTTCACATAAATCTTATAAAATCTTGATTTTGCAGAAGTTTTTGTCAAAGCAAAATTCCAGATAGTGTTAACTAGCTTCTTGCATCAAGTGTGTTTGTTGTCCTCTCCATGCTACATGATCTTGCTTATTGAACAAAAATACATATAATGCCATCAGTAAAACTTAAGTGAAACTTGTATCTAAGATGTTCAGGGATATTTGTATTGTTTACACCCATTTTCTTGTTACTTGCTCTAAGATTAGTGAGTTTCTATATTGTTCTAACAAATTATTTAAACAGTTCAGGAATCATAGTACACTGTGCATCTTTGAATGTGAGTATGTTCTCTGTGAGCTTTATCTATATGAATATTCAAGACAATTTTTTTAAAGTTTGTTCATAAGGTCAAATGTAGGAGGAATGATGTGGTTGAAGTGTGCAGTTAAAGAAATTAACGTGAAAGTAGGTTCAGAGATCTTTGCTCTGAAGTAAAAATGGCATGCAGTAGCTTTGATTTGGCTTTTAAGTTGTTATCAGGTGTTTAAAATACTGGTTTAAGAGATACTCTTTGATATTCTCTAGTAGAGAAAAAATTAATGAGAAAATAAAATGGTAGAGAGTGATTTTTGACAGTGTCTTTCCCAAAATGCTTCACAAGTATTATTTATTAAGGTATGTTAGAAAGCCCCTGCTGGCTCTGGTGGCCTCCAGGGCTGGGGCATTTGTCCTGCCTTGCTGCTGGAGCCCATCTCTGGCTCAGACTTTGAGCAGAAGTTAAACAGAGGTCCCTCCAGTCAGTGGCCTTGTGACCTCTCACACATAGATGCGCACTCTGGGCCCTCCAGTTTCTGAAGCACACCTACAGGCTGGGTAATCCATGGTCTCTTTTCCTGTTGCTGACACCCTGACCTCTCTTGCACTCTGATCCCTCCAGCTGCTGGCACCTCGGGCACCCAGTCCCGATGGCCTGTGCTCCCCACTCCAGTCTCTGGCACGTGGACCCTCACACACTGCAGTCACTGGCACTACAGGCGTGTGGGTCCAATGACTCGTATTCCCGCTTGAGTTGCTGGCATTTGCTTTTACTTGCTCTGGTCTCAAGTTGCTGGTGTGCAGGCTTGTCCCCAGTTGCTTGCAGTGAGACCTTACATCACCCACAGGTGGGACAGGGAGTAGAGTGGCACAGAAAGATAGTTAGGAGAGGATTTAATAAGATGGGGTAGACCGCAGTGATCAGGCACAGGGCTCAGTCAGAGGAGTGCACTGACTGGCGCCTACTTATACGTGACTCTGGCCCCTTGATCCTTCCTCCTCTCACTTTGCCCCCCACCTCCAGCCTGTTCCTAACCAGCCCCTCTCTCCCACCTTTGACTTTTCTGAAGCATTGCTTAATGAGTTTGCATACAGCCACAGGCGCCCTCGGATATCTGTAATGCTCATGTTCTGTCACTTCTCCCTTATCTGTTACGAAGTCCAGGCTGATGCTCTTCAGAGCTATGCCTGTGGTTTCTTAATGGCTTGTCAATTAATGGCTGAAGAGTTTTGGTCACTTTATGATCTCCCTTAGTGCTTACTTATCAGGTTTATGTCTCTGTGTGGTCTTTTTATGGCTTTCCCTGTTACTTCATATTCCCTGTGAGCTGAAAAGGTCCTTTATCTGATAACGTTAATGAACCAGATGCTCTCACCTTTCACATGCCCTTACACTCTCTTTTTAGCCATATCATCAAGGGCAATGATGATGAGGCAATTCCAAGTAGCTGCTGTGAACAGGAAATTGAACTAATGGAGGCATTAGACAAAGCGTATTATGGTTTTAGATAGGCACAGCATGTGAAGTAAATAATAGATGGATAAGGTTTTAAGTAGATTTTATGATGAAAGATACATTTCAAGCTAAACAAGATTAAGGGGTACCATCAGACTGTCTGCAAGTAACTTTTGTTAATTTGAGTAGTGAAGGCTGTCACTGTACTGAGTTGAGGGTAGCGCAGATTTAAACTGTTAGAAAATTACCTATTATCTGTATCTCAAATTTGATTTCTGCAGGATTTCTATTTTTACTTCTACAAATGTGCAACGGGGAGAGAGCTTGTCTCAAACCTTCTGCCACAGGGTGGTAGTGAATCTTAACCTGTACAGTTGTGATGATAATTCATAGAGAAGTTTTTTCCCTTAAACAGAATGTCATTTTGAACAGTATGATTATGCTGCAATGCTAGCTAAATAGGCCACACTAAAATTATTCTTTTATAAATTTTGGGGATTTCTCAAGATAGAAATAACTTGTTTCACTGTTTATTTTGTTTTCTTAGAGGAAATTCCTGTAAGCATATTATGAATGTTTAAACAAGTGAAATTTTTATACACTTTCACCATTGCTATATTTTTTTTGTTTGCAGTATCCCGTTGTGTCCAGTTCCAGCTGGTCAGAAGTAGATGTGCTGATTCTGACTGGAACAATTGGCCATGTTTTGAGTTTGGGGGCAAGCAGTTTTATAGAAGAGGAACATCAAACCTGGTATTTTCTTATCAATACGCTTTGTTTGGCCCTGTGTCAGGAACTTTGTAGAAATAATTTTCTTCTGAAAGAATGCGACCCTCAACATAGCACCACTGTGAAACAAAATTTTGATAGTATCGGGGAAGCCTCTGAGTGCAAGAATATAGACATTCCAGCAGCAGGTAATTCAAAATTGGGCAAGGCCACGTCTTCAGCTGAATTCATAAAAGGATCAGATAAGTGGATAAGTTTAGCAAGTCCATGGATCATCCTTATCTGCTGTCGGCTGCTTCGATCCTTGAATCAGACGGGTGTCCAGTGGGCTCATCGGCCAGACTTTGGACATTGGTTGACAAGGTGAGTACCTTATTTATTGTTATACTTTCTGTATTATTTAAAAATTAATGTATGTTTCATTTGGTGAAATATGTATACATTTCTATACAGTCACTGTTTAGAAAGTGCTGTAAACATGCAAAGCGGGTAAACAGTGAAGCAACATAAGGAATTTTTCACTGCTATTTCATGCAGGAGTAATTCCTTGTGTACTATCAATAGTTTATAATATTTGCCCTGCACCATGACTTGTCTAATTAATGCCAATTATACACGATAGTTTTATCAGAGGCAAAAAGTAAATATTTTCCATGTGAAAGTCAACAGCGTCTGATTTGGGAAATTAAAAATTGCTTAATAGAATTAAACCCTTGAAATTAAGGCAGAAGGTTCTGCTCAATTCCAAACTTTATGAAGTTGCAGGAGAAGATAGTGCACATAGAATTCTTCCCCGTCTATCATAGACATTTAGCGTGTGGGTAGAAAACTGAAGGAATTTTTCAAGTGTAGTATGATAAACAAGAAAGGAAATTTTTTACAACATGAAGTATACTGGAGAAGGGCTTCTACTTTTTCTACTACCTTTTAGTATTTTGAAGAACTACAACCATTATTCAGTGATAAAAAGTACTTGATATTTGAACTGTCTTCTGCACTTCAGCTGGTGGACAGAGAAGCAATACCTTGTGACTGCCTAGTCAAGGTTTTGCAGACAGCAGATGGAGAGGCTGTGCTGTGTGAGATAAAGAGATTTCTTGCCAGTATCTTACAACACGTGGATGAAATGTCATTCATCATTCGTTAATAGGGACATGAGCAAATGAACTAATATGAGACTTGTTACTTACTGGCAGCCTCACGGATAAAATGCTAATTGCTGTGACAGGCATGAGCACTGAAAGACATGAGTTATGAGGGAATTTATCGCAATTTAGCAGTTGTTCTATACCAAAGCTTTCACCATGCATTCCTCCTCTTGAGATGACGTAAGGGATTGAGGAAGGAATGTCATATTCCCAACGTTAAGTCCACATGATAGGGAACTCCTTCATTATGAGCTAAGCTGGTGTGTGAGCAGAATTAGGTGTGATTTGGTGCGACTGGGAGGATTTTTATAATTAATCCTGAGCATTTTCCAAATTTCTATTTGCCCAATAACTTCCTGAGCCAGATGTCTTCTTCAGATTGTCACCCCTTTTCTTTGGAGTGTACTAGTACCACGATGCCATGAAACAAGGACTTGATATTCTTGCAGCTGAAAAACTGCGTTTGTTTCAGAGATGTGCTTTTGCTCATATTGTTCCCTAGGAATGTTTATTGACACTTGGAAATGTTACCAGCCTTGTAGAAATTGCGTGTGCATGCCTGGACTTAACTTCCAAAGATCCTGTCTTGGTTAAGCTTGCTCCCACCTCTGATTTCCTGGTGCTAGGTATTCCTATAGAGCGTCAAAACCTGTTACAACCTTGGGCTGTGGGGACTCAGAGACAGCACAGGTAGAACGTAGTTTGCAGCTAGGACAGGTGCTTCTAGAGCTTCCTGATTTATAACAAAAGCTGGGAAATCCTGTATGCCCAGCTCTAAAACTATTGTCTGTCAGGAGCTTCCCAGCAACTCACTCAGGTAAACCAAATGTTGTGGTTTAATCCCAGCCGGCAACTAAGCACCCCACAGCCACTCGCTCACTCCCCACCCTGTGGGAGAGAGCACACATACATAGAAGAAACATTGCTTTGATGAAGATATATCAAAATTATTTCCAGTATTATTTTAACCTTTTA